ATCTCCAACGTCCCGACAGACCTTGGTGGTAAGCTTGGGCATAGATATTTCATCGAATCACCTCACTTTGTGGGGCCATGTGAGCAACACAAATGCGAACAAGCTTGTCCGCATTTGTGCGGATATTCAAGCTTGTCCGCATTTGTGATTGTATGCTTGTTCAAGCATATTCAAGCTTGTTTGCATTTGTATTGCTCACATGGCTCCACAAAGTGAGGTGATTCGATGAAATATCTATGCCCAAGCTTACCACCAAGGGCAATCGGGACGTTGGGGATATAGCCTCGGCTACCAATATCTTTTGTACAGTCGCGGTTGGTCGAGTGGTTAAGGAACCGGGTACGGCATGTGCATAGGGCTCCTGGCAGTCTGGGTTCGAATCCTTCTGGGGAGGGAAGTTTTCAGTTGAATATTGGCTTGGGGACCATTCAAGCTTGTTCGTATATATATATATATATATATATATATATATATATATATATATATATATATATATATATATATATATATATATATATATATATATATATATATATATATATATATATATCGTACCTAATAGCCAGAACGCACTTCTCAGCCTACTATTCAAGGCCCGATTTGCCTAATAAGCCAAGTTTTCATGAATTAATGTTTTTTCGTCTACCTAACCAACCTAACCTAACCTAACCTAGCTTTTTTTGGCTACCTAACCTAACCTTACCTATAAATATAGGTTAGGTTAGGTTAGGTAGGGTTGGTTAGGTTCGGTCATATATCTACGTTAATTTTAACTCCAATAAAAAAAATTGACCTCATACATAGAGAAAAGGGTTGCTTTATCATTTCATAAGAAAAAAATTATAGTAAATATATTAATTCAGGAAAACTTGGCTTATTAGGCAAATCGGGCCTTGAATAGTAGGCTGAGAAGTGAGTTCTGGCTACTAGGTACGACATATATATATATATATATATATATATATATATATATATATATATATATATATATATATATATATATATATATATATATATATATATATATATATATAATGATTCTAACACGAATATTCTCAATATTTCTTATGTTCTATTCACTGTTGAGGGATGTTGAAAAATGTTCTCTCCAAAGTTCATTTTCATGCAATATTTATGATCTGACGCCATGGGAAGCATTTTGCGAGGCACTCCTTACTTCTTCAAAGACTAATTTTCCATACTCTTCTAATGCTTATATTCCCTTGGGGTGAGGTGATACAGGACATGATTGAGATGAACAAATGGATAAATGGCACAATTGGTATTATAGGTCATACCTTGAGGTTACCTTGAGGTGCTTCCGGGGCTTAGTGTCCCCGCGGCCCGGTCGTCGACCAGGTCTCCTTGTTGCTGGACTGATCAACCAGGCTGTTAGACGCGGCTGCTCGCAGCCTGACGTATGAGTCACAGCCTGGTTGATCAGGTATCCTTCAGGCCATTGCATGTTCTATCTTCGTATGAGTTCTATCTTCGTATCTTCGTTCTATTGACGTATGAGTCACAGCCTGGTTGATCAGGTATCCTTCAGGCCATTGCGTGTTCTATCTTCTTGCTTCTGTGTTGGTTCGGTATTTAAGTGGGTAGAATGTAATTATGTCTTAAATGGCTGTTGATTGCTGGTTTTGACTTTTTGATGTGTAGGGCCTCGTTGATGTCGAGACTACTGTTGTCGTTGTTCCTGTCGATAATTTCTGTGTTGCTTGTTAAGATTTCCCTGGTGATGGTCTGGTTATGTGAGGAGATTATATACACCTTGATGGAGCCCTGTTACTTGTGCATTGTTAATCGCCTAGAGAGAGACGTTGTTGTCTTGCCGATATACTAAGATCTTTGGGGCTGAGAGTCCCCAAGTGGGCATGTGAAGGCATTGACGACAGTGGTCTCGTTTAAGGCATTCTGTTTGGTGTTTGGAGAGTTCTTCATAAGCAGATTTGCCGTCTTCTTGTTTTTGTAGTAAATTGTTAATTGTATCTTCTGATTTGAGTCTGGGGGATAACGTTCCTAGCAATAATATCTTTCGGGACACTTTCCTCTGTTTCATGACCTGTTGAAAAGAAGTTCCTGTAAAGCAATCTAACAGGAAGTACAGGTGTTATGTTAGTTGATTCTTCAGAGGTTGCATGGTGTGTCACCTTCCTTTTAATGAAGTCTTCAACATAACCGTTAGAGAAGCCATTATTGACTAGGACCTGGCTAACTCTCCAGAGTTCCTCGTCGACCTGCTTCCAACCAGAGCTGTGAGTGAGAGCTTGGTCCACGTAAGCATTGACAACACTCCGCTTGTACCTGTCCAGACAGTTACTATTAGCTTTAAGGCACAATCCTATGTTCGTTTCCTTAGTGTAAAATGCAGTGTGGAATCCTCTATTCTTTTCCGCGACTGTTACATCTAGAAAGGGTAGCTTCCCATCAGTCTCCATATAGTAAGTAAAACTTTACACCGAAGTTTGCTCGAATGCCTCCTTCAACGGCTGCTAACGTCCGACATCAGGTACCTGCATCAATATGACTTCAACGTACCTGCAGTATATGGCAGGTTTTAAGTTCATGTCAACTAAGACCCTCTGCTCTATGGTACCCATGTAAAAATTTGCAAACAGAACACCTGGGGGAGAACCCATGGCAACATCATCTACTTGTTTATACATGTGCCCATCGGGACCCCAGATGGGTGCCTTTTTAGTGCAAGCATCGAGTAACTTTCTCAATATGCTCTCTGGTATGTCCATAGGGGTACAAGCCAGATCACTATACATTCTGTCTATCATCATCCTGCTTGTTTCGTCCACAGGGACGTTGGTATACAGCGACTCCACATCTAGAGAGGCTTTCATCCCTGGGGCCCGTGCTCCCCGCAATAAGTCAACAAATTCCTTTGGAGACGTCAGGCTAAAAGTACAAGGCACGTCATTATATGGGTATGGGTGATGATTGGCCGAAGTGGGTTTCAAGGTTTGTGGGTCTTGATTCTGATATTTTGCTATTGTTACGCTCCATTTAAATTATGCACTTTAATTTTGATCGCAATACTACATAAATAACATAAATTCACTTGAACGTCTTGAGCGAAGGATGACAAAGTTAATCCCACAAATTGAAAACTTCCATATGAAGAGAAATTGAAAATTTAGGGAATGAACATTCCCAAAAAAGCGAAGAGTGATATGGCAAGTGTACAAACTGATGGATGGGCATAACACGGCGGTTAATAAGGCATTAAAATATCACATATAGCCTGGGGCACGAGGCTTCCTCCAACATAAAAATTGCAATGTCTAAATATACCATAGCAAGAATTTCCCGTTCACTTGAAGCTACTGCACATAATATTTATAACAATACAATTTTAAGTGCTGCATTGCTATGGCCTCATAATCTGACCACAATATATCTGGGAGGCAATGATATAATTCTATAGACCAGTCCGATCTATTATTG